AAATCGTATCCCCTCAGAGTTTGTTCAAGTCCACAAACCTCTGTCTGTGACAGAGCCCCTCAGACATGGCTACTCTAGTCACTAGCAGATTCCGACAGTGGTTGCTTTCGTAATCGCTTCCAACATAAAAGCTCCTTAACGGAAACACGTCTTCTGGAATCTCTGCGTGACAGTTTCCGGCGAGGAGTGGGTGTTCTTACAGGAGGTCCTGAAACCTCTCCACTGTTTTCGCTGGAAGTGTCTCTGAGCCATCCCTCCAGCTCAGCTCCTCTCCCCTGCTGGTTCCCTCATCAGCTGCTGCGTCTCTCCCAACCTGTGTGAGCCCTTTCACCTCCCTGTTGGTTTCCTCTTCAGCTGCTGCGTCTCTCCCAACCTGTGTGAGCCCTTTCACCTCCCTTCCGTCCGATGGCAGTTCCCTGACATCCACCTCCCCTCCAGGGCCCCCTTCACCCCCTCTCGCCCCCTCCTCTACGGGCGGTGAGGAGGCAAAACCACGGAATGAACTTCCTTCATCTTCCGATGTCTCGAACACTTCTCTCAACCTGTTGCGGTTCCTGGTCTCGAAGTACACCTCCTCCTCAGAGTCCATCTCCCCTTCCCCTTCCGAGTCCGGGAATCCTTCCAACTCCTCCCCTTCATCAGTGGTCCCAAAGTATTCCCTCCGGAACCTCTCCACAGGCTGAGGTTTCCTTGGGAACCTTTGATGGAACGTTTCTATCAATACCTCGTCATTGATATCTTCAGCCATTACCCAAGTGTTTTCTGACTCCGGTTCTCCTTCCCACGCTACCAAATACTCCACCTGATCCCCCTTCCACCTGGCGTCGAGGATTTCTGCCACATGGCTGCTGCATTCTCTTTCTTCTACGACCGGTTCCCGAGTGGCCAGCCCTTCTCGTCCCCCTTCGTACGGTGACAGTAACGACCTGTGAAATACTGGGTGCAGTTTCATGTGGTTGGGTAACCGGAGCCTGAAAGCCACTGGGTTGACCTGTTGAATGACCTCAAAGGGACCCAACCTCCTGGGTCTTAATTTCTTACAACCTCCTTTGAGCGGCAGCCCTTGGGTTGACAGCCACACCCTATCTCCCACCCTTATGGTTTCACCTTCCCTTCGGTTCTTGTCTGCCTGCCTCTTGTATTCTTCCTTCGCCCTTTCTAAGTTGAGTTGGAGCTGACGATGGATTGCTTCCATTTCTTCCACAAAATGCTCGGCTGCCGGGACGCTCCATCTCTCCCCTCTCCCCTGGGAAAGCCCTGGGATGACACCCATAATTAGCCAAGAAGGGGCTCATCCCTGTGGACACATTCTCGGCATTGTTGTAGGCAAATTCCGCCAGCGCCAACTTTTCTACCCAGTCATTCTCTCTGTCATTGACATAACACCTCAGGTATTGCTGGAGGACACCGTTTGCTCTTTCCGCCTGCCCGTTGGTTTCAGGGTGCCGGGCAGTCGAAAAATTGACCTCCACCTGCAGTAAGCTCATGAGCTTCCTCCAGAACCTGGAAGTAAATTGTTTTCCTCGGTCTGAGACCACCCTCAATGGCACCCTGTGCAACCTAAAAATGTGTTCTACAAATAACTTCGCTGTCTCTTCCGCCGTGACTGCATGCGAGCAAGCTACAAAGTGGCACATCTTTGTTAGTAGGTCTACCACCACCATGATGGCTGTTTTCCCTTTGGACTTCGGCAGATCAGTCATAAAATCTATCGACACTGCCTCCCAAGGTCGTTCTGGGGTTGGTAAGGGTTCTAATAGCCCC